GCTCGAAAATTTTATGTGCAATTTGGGGTACTATTTGTGAGATATAAAATATTTCAATGTTGCACATAACATTAAACGGATGTAGTAATACAGATGCAATACTACACACCAACGAAATCCTAATAGTTGGCTCAGAATCCGACCATAGCAACAAACAAATCCTTAATCTGCTTGAGTTACCATAAATGACTGAACAAAAGGAGTAAAGTTCCACAATATAATACGGAGTAGCATTGCAATTTACAGATTAAGTATAGTCTCCTTGATTTCTTAATCAATTGTCTCACTATCTTAGCAGGTTATGGACATCACTTCGTATTTAAAAGCAAATGGCGCATACTAATATAAATATACATACATTGCAAATATACTTCAATTATACACATTGAATTATATTTCTGATTAATTTCCTGAATAGCATGATCAAAATTACCACAATAAATACACGAACCAAAATTAAACCCTAAAATTCAAATAAATAAATAAATAAATAAATAAAACTAAAAATTTACCTCAAGTGAGAATGTAGAAAGAGCAGCAATGGCTTCTTCAACAGAAACAGCCATGGCTCCTCCTCAATGCCGCAAGATTACCAATTCAATCTGCAATTATTTCAAATTTGGCACAAAAATGGCGGATTAAATGAAGAGTGATTAAACTAATTTGAAGAGATCAACATGAAAATGAGTAGAAATTGAAGCTCAAAAACCTTGAAGAATGGAAGTAGTAATGCGGCAAAAATGGCGGAGCGATGAACAAAGATCTAGAGTGAAGAGTAGGAGAGAGAATTAGGAAGGTTTAGGAGTAGTGGAGAAGGTGAAGTTGGTTGTGTATTTCTTCTGTAACTTAAACTTTACTATTGTAACAAGTTCTGAATTAAAAGGGACTTGTTAAACATCGCCCGCGTTTTTCTACATAAAGCCCACATTTTTTAAAAATGTTGACATTATTGCCCTTGTTTTAATTTTTACCGAAAATAAAATTTTTCACTCATCAAAAATGTGGAGCAGGACTGGATCGCCGAGTGAAACCGAAGAGCCCTCAACGTCGGCTAGATGCACCGGAGAGACGCCGTTGACGCCGGAAAAGGAGGTACGAAGCCATCTAAAACCACGGATTGGCGGCTGGCGTCCTGCCGGGACGCCGTGACCGTAGTGGTGGCGCCTAGCCAGGACGCCGCCACGGTGGCGGCGTCCTGGCTAGACGCCACCGCCACGGTGGCGGCGTCCTGGCTAGGCGCCACTCCTTTTTTTTTTTTTTTTTTTAATTTAATTTAAAATTTGTTTATTTTTTTTTTTTTTTTGTTTTACAATTTTTTTCTTTTTTTTTTGGTTTTTTTTTTTGTTTTGTTTTTAATTGTTTTAATTTGTTTTTGTTTTTAATTTGTTTATTTTTTTTTTTTGTTACAATTTTTTTCGTTTTATGTTTGTTTTTATTTTTTTGGTTTATTTTTATTTATTTAATCTAAAGTTTTGTTTATGTTTTTTATTTTTGTGTTTTGTTTTTTTTTTTTTTTTTTTTGAATACTTTTTGTTTATTTCTTTGTTTGTTGTTTATATTTTATTATTGTTTTTGCTTTTGTGCTAATGTTGTGTCAAATGTATTAATTTAATCTAATCTTATGTGATTATATTTATATGTTATTGTTGCAGGATTATGGTGGAGACGGAAATGATTATAGTGGGATTTTTGTACACGATGGTCTGTTCGAAGATGCTCAACAAGCGGTTGATTGGGCGAAACATGTTGCAATTAGATCAGGTTTTTGTTTAGTAGTAGCAACTCATAAATCTCAACGGGATGGTAGAATGGATCGCATTTTGAGATGCGACCGTTATCGCAAAAGGGAGGAACGAGATTTCAGTCAAGCGATTCGGTTTGATACAAAGCGGAAAGGTTGTGGGTGTCAGTTCAGAGTAAAGGTTCGACAACAGCAAAGGGGTGACGGTTGGGAAGTGAAGAGTTACGGTAAATGGGGGTATCACAACCATGAGATGATCGCATATGAAGTGGGTCATCGACAGTTAAGTGGCCTAAGTCCTGCTGCGAAACTAATTGTAAAAGAAATGAGTGATGCTCAAGTGAAGCCTGCTAAAATATTAGCATCTGTGTTGGAGAAATTTCCTGAAGACCAGCCAAACCGAAGACACATCTACAACGTCAGACAGAAATTGAGGTTTGAACGGTCAGAGGGAAGGAACCCTATACAGCAGCTTCTACACCAGGCACAAGCACGTGGTTACCTGTACTGGTTTGAATCTGATGAAGACACATCGGAGGTGACTCATTTGTTCCTTGTGCATCCTGATTGTGCTGATATGATTTCGTCTTGGCCATCTGTGATCTTAACACCGCCGTGATCCCACACACCAAGTGCCGCTGTGTACAGCGCAGCCCTATCCACCGCCAACAGCTCCGCCAATAAATCTGCCTGATCCGCATCTGTGACAACAGATGCTCGGTTTCCCTCTACGGGAATCCCAAGGATGGCCTCGACGTCATGCAACATGATCGTCATCTCACCGAACGGAAGGTGGAAAGAGTTCGTGTCCGGCTGCCATCGCTCAACGAAAGCCGTGATCAGCGTCGAGTCAATCCTCTCATGCATGGTGGCAGGAAGGTGGCTCACTCTAGTGGCCCTCAATCGGCCGACCATCTCGCTCTCCTCCAGCCAAGCCTCAGCCCAACTACACAAGAAGTTACAAGTCCTCTCCCGGGTTTGGCATTTCAAAATGCCGCTATCCAAAGCCCGCTCTTGGTCCTCCCAAATACGGGTAGCGATGTGTCCTAGAAAGCTAGGAATCACACTCCCGTCTATAGGTCCCCCAGCCACCTCGCCCCTCACCACCCAAGAATCATTAACGGCCCTCGACCGTTTTCTGCTAACCGCAGACACAGTGGACGCAGATGATGTGCCAGATCTACTAACAAATCTACCATCTCTACCCTTACGCACGTCTACCCTACGCGTCTCATACACATCATCAAGCCTCTGACTGAATGGACCGTAATCATCATATGGTCCACTCTGATCGTCCACATCCTCATCTGCATCCTCCTCCTCCTCCTCCTCATCACCATCATCATCTTCATCATCCTCAGAATAGTGCACCCGTTCTCTACGAGCCGAGGCCGAAATACCACGGGATCTAACGTGTCTGGGCCCCGAGCTCTCCATTGAGTTGATCGTACTTCTCATAATGTCCATACTCTTCCCAGCCCCAGAACGAAAATACGATGCCTAACACAAAATAACAAAACATGTAATATGCAATATAAACATGTAATATAAACATAAAAAAGTAATTAAAATAAATAAATAAAACAATATACATATGATGGAAAATAAATTAAAAACATTACAAAATATTAACAACCTAAAAATAAAAAAATTAATAACCTAATAAATAAATAAATAAAAAATTGGAAAAAACAAAGCAAAAAAAAAAATTACCCAAAAAAAACAAATTGGAAAAAACAAAGTAAAAAATATAAAATTATAAAAACTTAAAAAAAGAAGAACATCAAAATTTTAAAAAAAATTTATAAAAAAAAAAAGGGAACATAAAATTTTTTTTAAGTAAAAAAACAAATTCAAAAAAAAAAAAAACAAAAACAATAAACAAGAACATAAAATTAAAAATTAAAAAAAAAAAAAAGAGGAACATAAAATTTTTTTAAAAAAAACCAACAAAATTTAAAACAAAATAAAAAAAAATCAGAAACATAAAATTTAAAATTAAAAAAAAGAAAAACAAATTTAAAAAAAAACAAAAAAAAAAAAATTATTTTCGAAAATTAAATTTCAAATTTAAAACCAAAAAAAAAATAAAAAAAAAAAAATATACAGGCGGCGGCGCCTAGGCCAGACGCCGTAACGGTGGCGGCGGCGTCTAGCCCAGACGCCACCACCACGGCGGCGGCGCCTAGGCCAGACGCTGGTGCCGTGGTGCTGGCGCCTGGGCCAGACGCCACCGCCACCGTCACGGCGTCTAGCCTAGGCGCCGCCGCCGTGGTGGTGGCGTCTGGCCTAGGCGCCGCCACCGCCTCCGACCTTTTTTTTTTAATTTTTAAAAACAAAATTAATAAAAAATACCTTCTCGCCGGAAAACCGCTGTCCACCCGCCGCCAGTGCCGCCACTTCCTTGCCGGGCCGCCTCGACATCGCTCGGAAAGTTTTTTAGAGAGAGAAAGTGGAAGTAGAGAATAGAGAGAAGAAATTGTGTTTTTTACTTTGAGGGCAAAAGTGACATTTCACTCTAATTTTGTGGGCTTTATGTGGAGATTTGCGGGCGATGTTTAGCAATCCACAATTAAAATTCTAATCGTCAACCTTTTCTTCTTCTTCAACCACCGGTGTACCCGCCCTACTTTACAAGTTTACTACAAGTTTTGATCTTCCTATGTCTCGAGTTAGGGTCTATTCACATTTACTGATTAGAGTTGAGCTGAACTGAACTTAACTTAACTGGTTGGAGCTGAATCGAACCGAACTGATCGGAGCTGAATAGCTGAATTGAATAAGCCCTTAGTTTGTCCACCTTTTTAGTTTGCCTTTAAAAAAAACACTAAACTTACGTTTGATAAGGATTCAGGGACTTATTGTTAATTTTTTTTTTTAATAATTCTCTCTTTTACCGTTAAAAGTTAGGGTCTCACACTCTCTCTCATTCAGTAAAAAAAATACTTGTATCTAATTAACAATAGTAATTTAAAACTAGTGAATCATTTTAACTTTTGTAGCATTCCCGTACATACCGACTTTGACTTGATTTTGTACAATTATATGAAGGACAAATGTTATAATGTAAAATTTTGCTAGATTAGTCACAATGTATATGTCCATAATATAAACATTTTATAAATTTTGCTAAAAAATAATTTAAGATATTTATGGTTAAAATTGTGCATTGGCATGTATGTCAATCAAACCGATGCACTTTCCAAAAAATACAACTCATATGGGAATTTAATTCTAACGTCAACCAAACAAACACTAATTTAATGTTGAATTGTAACTCGTCCTTAAAGAAGAAACACATGATATTAAATTGTAATTACATAAGGATTACATTACTTGGAAGCAAGGCAAGTTTACAATCAATATAGATACAGTTTAAAATTAGACAACAGCATTTCCATTCAGGTTGGATTGCTCATACAACAATACACCACAGAGCAAGGCCTTAGAAATTGACTTGTGCATAATATCCTATACTGAAATTGACCCAACCCTACCAATATTAATGTAACTAATATTGTCAATTAGACATAATAATTAGACTATAATTTGATTATGGCCCTTGCTGAAATAGACTCAAACTGAAAGTCACATCTTCCAAATTGTATTGATCCAACTTAGAATGATTCATTTGTCTCCTGTAAGAAAACCTAACACTATGTTGCAAGCTTACAACCATATTCTTTGTAACTTGAGATTCGCCACGCTGTGGTCCATTCTGGAAAATGGTTCTAAATTTCTAGGTTAAATCACAACCCTACAGCTCATAATCAACAGGAAAATTTTCAATAATATTTACATAAATTTCTAACAGGTCAAGAAGCTTCATCAGAAGGGCTGTCAGGTGTTTGTCTAGCAGCAATCACCTTGTCGAGTGTCTCGTCAGGAACTGTGATTCCACTAGTTTCCAGATCAGCAACAATTGCTATTGCTGCGTCAAGTTCTCCAAGATCAAGGCACAGTGTGATGATTTCATCATACAAAGGACTGTATACAGAAAAGCGATCAGTTAGGTGAACTAAGAATTTCCACAGAAGTTGACAGGTTACAAGTATAAAATATGAAAGGAAAAAAAGTGGTAGGAATCGTGAAATGTGCAGAAGTTTCAAGTTTGTTTCCAATCTGTAGCATCTTCTAACTTATTTAGCATTCCCCAAGCCAATTTCAATCTCTATAATTGGATAACAAGGTTGATTACAGGGAAATTATTCTTCTTTGTCAAAGAGCACGACTTCATTGTTGTTTATTATGAATGTGGAGCACTGTAAACTTACAGGTAAAATAACTCATCTACTATGGAATACTATTAAGTAGAATAATCTACTAATGAAATTTCTAATAAAGTCACATATACTCAAAGAAAAACCAAATTAAAAACAAAATCTCAACTCACCTTCCAAATCTGTAGCCAAGACTATGTGTAGTCTGTAAGACTGTCAAGAAAGCTGAAGGAAGAGGAGCTTTTATGGCAGCACGAAGGATCATAGCACAGTCCCCAATAGTTGGTATACCACCTAACTCTATTACCTGAGACAAAATACAACTTTCAGCAATTAATTAACATCTACATGTGTTTTAATTTTTTTTTGATAAGATACATGTGTTTTAATTGACATCAGCAAGTAAAAAAAAAAAAAAAACAAAGTGACGCCAGCTCAAAGAACTTAATATTTTGGATTTCTCTCTCATACTTGAGTTTCTGTAGAATAAGTCAAATCCAGGATCTGGTAAAAATAAAGGAATCATGATGTATAATTTATAAAAACTTGCCTTTGACATAACTTTAATAGCCAATTCAACCTCCCATTCTTGAGACCACCTCCGTGGAGGTCTGTTCTTCAGCTCTCTATCCCATGTCCAGCCCCAGGCATCAGCAAGCGTGTACATATCGTCTACATTAAAGATATTTCTATTCCTCATTTCTTCAAAAGCCTCATATAAATCTAGGGGAAACCAGTCATCATCATCATCATTCTGCACCAATGACATAGAATGAGGCAGGCTGATACACATGCAAGTTGAAACACAGATAGATAAGCATATGCAATTATATCCTTTCTTGTTCGAAAATTTAGTAATGATCAACTGGCATTCCTGTACTCTCCAAAGGGGAGCACAAATATCAAGAGATCGGTCTCCCTTTTTTGGAGGGTTCCCCCCCCCCCCCTTTGTGATAAGGATTGATTAGTCTCAATTACCAAAGCATTAAATTAACATCATGATGCAACCCAAAAAATATATAACGAGGCTTCATTTAAACTTATTTATACAAAAAAAAACACTTGAATCAGTAAAATTAGAAAGTCAATGACTTTACACTCCTGAGATCAGACATAATAGTTATATTGTACAGTAACAAGATTTTTTAATTTAGTGATGATTGGAGGGAGCATGATTCACCAACAGCTACTCTCTGAGATACACTCAAAGTCCACAAACAAACTCTCTCAAAACAAAGAAACACCTGATCTCTTGATCACACAAAACCTCCTTTTAGTATCTCAAACTAATTAATGATACCCCAGACCTACAGTACTTTGTCATCTGCTGACAGAAATGGAAATTAAAGTTCCTTCCACATGATACCTAACATGTTTTAAAGCCAGAGAATTCTTCCACCAACCCCCCATCTCCAAAACCCAAAAAAGGAAGGGGTGGAGGACAGGGAACATAAAAGGAGCACTATCGTGCATGAGGGAAGGGTGCTGGCAGGGTGCTTGGAAGCAAGAATGACTACAGTAGGAAAAAAGAAGGCAAGGCAATGTGCAGAGCACTAAACAATACATGTTTGTTAGCAAATAGCATAATTCTCATACCTCTGCAGCCATAGAAGCTCTTCTCCTTGATTTTTTCGAGGTTGTTGGCTGGTCTGCATCTTTTAACAATTGGACTCCAATCATTTGAAGAGGTTTTTTGGCTTCAGCTTCCTTGTCCTTCACCCTGTCTACCAGGCCTTCTTGACTTTCAGTTTGTTCTACCTCCACTTCTGTTTCTGCTTCCTCTTCATCATCAGCTTCATCGTCTTCAATTTCTTTCGAAGCATCCTCCACAATATCGGCATCATCTATCATCTCTTCAGGTTCTGATTCCTGCCCATCTGCGGGATTTACATTATCATAGATGACTCGCTCCCCAAGAAAACGACGTTTCCAAAATTCTGTGTTGCCCTCTTCCAGTTTGATTCTTGAAATTAATTCATCCACCTCTTCATCAACCTGTCAAAACAATCTTCTTTAATTAAAGAACCATTATAGAGCTAAAATAGTAGAAAAAGACAGGAAAGGATAGCAAGATATTGTAATCTGATCCAGAACCAAGAGATCACCTCCTCCTCTTCCTCCTCCACTGGAGGAACCCATAGTGGACGACCACGTGAGATGTTAATTCTCCTAGCCTTTTGTACTCGCTGATAGAGCACATTCCTAGTTCCATCAATAGGGAGACCTTGGGCTTCCAGTTCTTCTTTTAACTCAGATACTACCATCTTACTAGCAGCTTTTGGTTTTATAACATTTTTTTCACGACCTTTGATTAATTTCTTCAATCTTTCCTCCACTCTTATATAATCAGATTCTGATGCATTTGGTCCGAGAACGGCCGGTCCTTCATTCCTCAAGTGTTTCAAAAGCTTCCTATGACGTATCTTCAATTCTTCAAGACATCTTTGTTTGTAGGAGGTTTCCACTGGATTCGAGTAAATGAACCCTTCTGCATCAGGATCCAGAGGAGTTTTTCCTCTTCGAGGAACCCAGCGTTTGCGTTCACCAGTTAGCCCACCCTCTGAAATATACCTGGGGGCTTACCAAAAAGAATAATCAATCACTGGAATTTTCTTTGCATACATTGGATAAACTGCGAGAATTATTACCAAATATAAATAGCCTGAAGCCAAAGCTCAAGAAATAGACATTAATCACCTGGCCATGTAGTCAATTTCATATCCAAGGTCAGCCTCTTCTTGCAAAGGCTCAATCCATGAGCTGACTAATGTCCTATATTTTTTACTCAAAATCATAGCTCTTGATGGAATCATCAGGTTATCCTTAGCCATAGCTTCTAAAGCTTCCAGCAATTCTTCAATTCTTCCTGTTCTCCACCCATATCACAACAGGTTAGAATCAAATTTTGATAGCAAATAAGTTAGGAGCCCAAGCATCAGAATAATTAAAGTATTTGTAACTGAAGCATTGATCGTTTTGCAGATTGAACAAGTTAGCATTCAAGAGTGAGCTGCCAACATGTTATTTGGCTCCTTAAGACATGTTTAAAAGCACGGGAAACTTAGCAGAAATTTCCCGTAAAGATGATGAGTCTATAATTTATATAATATCAAATAAAGAAAATAAGAAAATGACATTAAAATTTATGTTTTTTGCTTGGACATTGTATCATATATTTACTTGGCTCTTGAAACTAGAAATAAGCATACATTACTGAGAATTCCAATCTTCTTTAATAAAATATAATGTCCAGCGCATGATTGAATATATAACTATATTAATTCTCTGCCACTATGCAGTATCAAGAGCATAATATGCTTCCAAATTAGCATAATTAGGATAAGCATGCAATGCTGAAGTATAGAGGAAATAAAATGCTGTCTTAAGTTAGAGTAGCTATTTCTGCCAGTGGCATAACAAAGAAGGTTGAATTTTTCACCTTCTCGACACAAGGCTCGAAGGTACAAAGAAAGTGGATCACCATAGTTTCCTTCATTATGTAAAATTTTTACGCCCCCTTCGAAATTTTTCAATGCACGGAAATGCCTAATAGCTTCACGTGTCACACAGTACTTGGTGAAGCATTCTACCAACAACCTGAAGAAATTAACATTTTTAATGTTACAAGAATTTTGACAAAAAGGTAACTTGGATAAGAAAGGGCAAGTGTTGTCGGTTATCTAATTCCAAATTACAAGCTTAAAATCCTACAGATAAAAGATTGGCCAAGATGCAGTGCAAAAAATTCTCAAGAAGTAAAGATCAATACTGTAAACTAATGTCTAAGAAGCGCATGCTCTTCCACAAAAATAAGATGGAACGCCAGACTGCTACATGCCTGGTCTAATGCTACAAAACTCAATTTTATCTAATAAAAAAGGGACATGCATTCAACAATCCTCATAACTACGTAAATCAAATTAAAGATACTTACGCATATGTTCTCACATTTGGTTGTATTCTTTTATAATCTTCAACCATCAAGCCAAGCAGCTCAGCCACATCCTGAACCCTAATTCAACAGAAACAAAAGGCATTTGGAATTAACACTGCTGAATGGCTCAAAAGCACAAATAAAAAATACTCAATAACTTTTACAGTCCAAACCAGCTAATCATGAAACAAAAAAAACAGGAAAAGAGCATACTATCAATTTCCAAAAAAAGGAAGCATAACATCATATCTGCTAAAGCTTAGTAATTAGCGACTAAGATATTAAGAATTCCTATCCAAACAATAAAAAGATATTGATGATTCAGATTCATAAATCCATCAATAAAAAGTGGCAAAATATATCAAGGGATATAAAAAGTAGAAACTAATGATTAACCATACAGTTCAATACTTGAAACTTGCAAAACCCAAACGACTTTGGCTACCATCATATTTGGTAGTACCTTTAAGCTTTAACATGTTTGGTTTTTCCGCATAAAACTCCGTATAATATATAACCTCACTTTTCAATTGGTTATGTACAACACATTAAGGTATGAAACTAGGATAGAGCTGGTGTGTAGGACTCAGTTGTTATTGATTTTATCCTTTTGGAGTTGAAGGTGGGGTGGACGGAGGAAGGCTATGTAGCCTAAAGATACAGAAGAGAAAGGACAAATACAATGGCTATGAAAAAAAAAGCCTCTATACATATACGGGGTTGACTGCTTAACTGACCCCTCCAAACCAATATAAGATATACAGTTTGTACATCATCCAACCCTCTCCCCCCAAAAATTTAATACTTCTTTTTATTAAAATAGATAAATAAAATTAAAAAAAAAAAAAAAACGTTAAATTGTTGAATGTTTCTATTACTGATTAAGAATTTTTCTATTCCCCCACCCCCTTAAAAAAAAAGTTCTAGTACCAATCCTGCTGTTGATAATGTTGGACTGTTGGTAATGCCAAATAAAGTTATTTTTTCCTCCGAGAAAGTAAATAAAGTTACACATACTTGAAACGACACCATGGTTGTCATCCTTATGGAAGGTGGATCAGAATTCAAATTGAATGTTTTTAAGAAGAAGAAAAAAATCCATTAAACGGAAAACAAGGAGGTGCCAAGTGACAAGGTGAGACTAGAAGGTAGAGCACTTAAACTCTAATGGAAGAACTCCAGCTAGATACTTCATCTACTAACAGAAAACATAAACAAGTTTTCTACAAGTATTGTATAAAGAAGCTAAAAAAAATGTTTTTAAAAAATGTAAAATAAACCAATGAAAAAGGAAGAAGAAAGTAATTGCAGCATACACAGTAGTCATATATAGAAGGAAGTAATTGAAGCAAACACAGCAGAGTCAAACATCGTTGATAGACCCATACATGGACAAAAATCATGATGGAATTACTCACCTATCATAGGACTCGGCTCTTGTATATGCCTGGATCACCCAATTATATGTCTCTGCATCAGGCTTCATATAATCTGGCAAGCAAAAGTTAAGAAGTAAGATCTGCAACAATGGTATACAGACAGCCAGATGCAATTATAAACATGGCATCCATGAGCTCAGTCTAGCGTTAGAATTACCCATACAAATTCTGCAGGTTTTTATAAAAATTTGTGGCCACGAGCTTTCTTTCATTTATGGGTGATTGGATGTATTAGCAGTGCAGTGGGTACATGCTAGGAAAGGTTAGTCATTATGTTGTCACTTCTCACTTGTCAGCATAGCTGATACATGTTTACAAGTTGTCAGGCCAGTATGTAGCTTGGTCTTATTGAATACAAGTATTATTCTATTATCTTGTTCAATAGTTTCAAAGCTATATTACTTTGGAGCCTTGTCTTTGTGTCCTCAACGAATCACCGTATGATTCCAATTTTCTAGTGTAAGTGATGATTCCCTTACTCTCCAAGCTGTCTTTTAGGCCTTTGGTGTCTCGTTTCTTTTTATCCAATGGCAGACTGTTTTTCTTTTTCTTTGTCTATGACATGTGAACATATGTTGTGTGAGGTTAATACAGAATTCAAATGCTGTATAAAACTTGCAAGCATGCTAGCTTCTTGTGGAGGTGAAGAATGTATTTTTAAATTCTAAAAATCAAACAAGGATAAAACCTTTATTCCAAACATTGAAATACATATGTTGCAAAACAACACATCATAGAGTTAGTGGAAAGATAACGGCCAACCTTCTCCAAATTCCATGTTCTCAAATGTTGCAAATGCCACTTCAGGTATTCCACAATTTGCCTACATTGTACAACTCATGCTTAAGATTTAGCAGGCAACGAGGCCACAAAAGGATGTAATTTGAAACTTACATCCCTCGGCATACTTTTAATCAACTAAGTTCAAATATAAAAAGTAAAGAGAAGCAAAAACAAATTGAAATTCACACCTGAACACTCAAAAGGCAGTTAAAGTGGAAAGTTGTAGCCATCCGGCCAGCTGCCTCCATTTCATAAGCAATAGTCAAGGCATTGGAGTGATCTCCAGCTTTACAGTCTTCCTCAATCATGAGATCGTAAATCTCATCAGTAGCCCTCAATCCACCTTCAGCACCCTTTAGAAACACCTTGTTGGCATCTTCCAAATGATTGCTTCTAACCAGCTCCTCTGAAAACAAAATTTTGACTCACTATGGATAGATCAAAAGAAAATTCGACAAAATGCCACCAAGAACTATGCTAATAACATTATACCAACAAGAACCAACCAAGCTTTCCGGATGTCATAATTTAACTTCTCCATTGCCGCAAGGATTTCTAAGCCTCTGGAAGCATGGCCTTTCGACCCAAACAAACGAACCAATGCTACAAATGTCTCGTGGAGAGGAGTTAGCCCCACACTCAGCTCTCTTCTCAATGATTGCATCTACATCCATGCCAACCCTCGACTCATCAATGAACACCAATAGAACCCAAAAATTCAATGGTAATAAATAATTTTAAACAAAATTATTAACATACTCTATTTTAATCAGCGACATTTCTATTTTGGGGTGTCCCAAATTACTAGGCCCATTTTATCTAACAACTTAAATTATGAATTTTTCCATGTTATCATTAATAGTCCATTTGGATGGAATTAAAAAATGGCAATATGGAATGAATTTATTCTCATGGTATAGTTCACTGTTCACCCCAAGTCCCTAAAGTGTCTTTTTCTTCAATAATTTTCATTACCATTTAATACAGCTTGAAGGATGGTTTTGGGAGGTCAAGAAAATTTGCGAAGAAAGACTCGAAAGTTTGGGGATGGGTTTGCATACTTGCATCCTCTTTGCCACCATTTAATACCACCAATAAAACAAATTGACATAGAGGATTTGATGTGTAGTACATACTAGTATCATAATAAAACATTACATAATAACCCAAAGTAAATCATCATAAATCGCGTCAATTCCTTGGAATGACCTCTAAGGCTCTAAACAAATGTGGCGTATTAAAGTGGGACAAAAAGACTAAACAATAATACAAAAATGTTGCAATAGATTTAAGACAATTATGATCCTAACAATAAAGGGTTGCAAAATCACATAACAAACTAAAATTCAGAATTATTTTTTTCATAATTTAGATAGATATAAAGATAGAAAGAAAGAGAGGAAAGAGAATTACAGCGCCTTCTTCATCAGCATTAAGAACATGAGCAACAACCATCCCATGATAAGACCTAGGTCCAGGACTAAGACCAGCAACAATCATATCATAAATAACATCAGAAACTCCAATTGCATCTCGATTTCTAGCCCTAATCATCAGCTCTTCCATGAATACCAGCCTTAAACTCTTCTCGGTCCCCGACAATGCCGTCGAAGAGTCATCCCCCTTCGGCGTTCGCCGGCGCCGGGACTTCCGCTCCGGCGAAGAAACCACCGAAACGATGACGGAGTTGAGTGGCTTTAATGGAGGAGGAGAGAGAAAGTGAGGAGAATAATGGAGTATTGGATTGAAAGGGAGGAATTTGGAGGATAAGATGTGCGCCATTGCTGGAGAGGTGTGAGTGAGGAAGAAGGTTGGATAAGGCTTGGGTTTTGTGGAGGTTTAAGAATTAAAATACATATCTGGCGGGGTATTCATTTCGTATTTCATCATTTTCATCGTATAAATGTATAATCAGTTGTACATACAACGCAGAGGTGTCAATTCGAGCCACTAGGTCGAGTAAGGTTGGATCATATCAGGTTTAATTTGGGTTTCTGATTGATAAATTATTGTGATTGTAATCTAAATTTACTTTCGAGTCAGATTGGATCGAGTTAGTTTTTAACACCTCTATTTGTGCAATTGCGAGTATAGTTGAGCATTTGAGATAGATTCAAGTGAGCAAAACACAAAATACTCATTTTCTCTTGAATTTTGATGGTTTGAAATCAAAATTTAATCAATACATAGCAAAACTTCTTACAAATCAACAAATAAAAATGCTTTGCAAAATGAATTATATTTCTTGCACCATAAACCTTGTTCTTATTTACTCGTATTTCTTTGTTATTACTTGCTCGTAGTTCTTAATATATTATGAGTTTACCAAAAGCTATTAAATTGCTAGTCAAAATTGAATTTATTACGAGTATATATCATAAGCGTTTAGAAGATATCAAATTTATTAAGATCACAAAATTAATCAAGCGATCACGCAATGCAACTATTGTCTCCATCGACAAAAATGTTTTACAAAACCATAAGTCAACGCACAAGGACTGCATAATGAGAATAATGTAAGCCATATTCATGTTCTTCATCACATCAACAGCAAAACTAAACCTAAGATAACCTCATAAGAATTAGCTTGTTCATGAGAGCTAAAGCACAAAATTATCTCTTCCATGTACATACGATAAAATCTACGAATTACTGTTTACATCTCTTCAATCTTCATACTATTCTGTTGACCCGTATGTAGCCTGAACTATTTGCCAAAAACAACTACTTGTCTCCCTTTGTACTGTCCTTTTTATGAATATCTTTATCCAGCTCTTTGGGTTTTGCCTTCTCAGCAGACCTGAAAGAGGCAAATTAGTAAAATTCATTAAAACTGAAATGCTTAAACACAAGCTTCTGTATTGGTGTAAAGTAACTGAAAAAAAACAGTAACTCCATATAAATGCATCTGGGCAAAGATAATCACTTGTTAATATATTACCAGTACATCGTACAGATATTGGTTTTTTACACCCTATACAAGCCTCAACCCATCACAAGCAACAATATAATTGAATTTTCTCCACATGTCTGATTTCATCTTGTGTGCCTACAATTTAAAGTCCACATAGAAAACCTAAAAATCTCATGCTACAGCTAGTGACTAAGGTAGATCCATCATAAGTGAAGTGGAGAATGAGTGATAGTTAGGGCAAATTCCTCACTTTTATCACACAACCATATGAAGTTGACTAGAGAAGAGGGGGTAGATCGTACATGTTATACAATTTTCATTCCCATATCCTGAAATATACTTTTTTTAATGGCCAAGTCTAGCTCGATATCTTTGACTTGGTGCCCCTGCCTTTTGAAAAAAGTGGAACCAAATTGAATTAAGCTTGATAATTTATGAGGTCTATCTCCACTCCCAGTCTCCCACACCTAATAACCTCAATTTGTAAAAGTAATATAATTCACCACTAGGGATGTCAGTGGAGCAGATCAAGTAGGAGACCTCCCCATCCTCATCCACCCCAATACACACCATCCTCATCCTATATTCACATCTATATATTAAAAAATTATATACTTTTATACTATTTTATAAAAAAAATTATGCAAAATAAAATAGTAAATATAATACTTTGTAATACATTCATATTATAAGCAAAAAAGTGTGTAATATTAACAATGTTTTTTTTAAGAAAATTGTAACCTACATTAATTATGTAGGATTGTGTATTTGGGAAGTGGGGATTAGGTGGGGATGGATATCTAGTGGGGGTGGGCAAGGATGATTTTAGAATTGTACCCGCCGAGGCAGGAATGGGATGAATTTTGGACCCGTTGGTCGTCGCGGGGATGAGATGAAAATTTTAGGTGGAGATGGGGATGAGAAGGCCAACATCCGCCTCGTCCCGCCCCATGGACATCTCATTCACCACCATATGTGAGCAAAGCAATATCAACCTTAATAAAAGACAATGACATAAATGGATTATATTAAATTGTCAAGTACAATCACAAAAACAAATTTCCAATATCATTTAACAAAAAAACAATAAACCAGCCTTAAAGTCCGCCAATGGCCGAAAGAAGTAGTAAATAAATCAAAAATCAATATATATCCACTTAATTCTACATGATAACTAACTAAATAAATCATAAACCCCACACAAAATGAGCCCAATGGGTAACAGAGGAAAGATTATTACAGTATTTTTTTTTAATGATTTCTATCAATATTGGCAGTCATATATAGGGAGAAAAAGTCGGTAATTCTTGTATAAATTTGAAATATGTAGAAAAACAACAACAAAATACAATCCTGTACTTGGTGAATTTAGATAATTGCAGTTTGCGTTTTCCACAAAGGGTGGTCAAACCACATCTTGTAATGCTTGCATGGTGTTTTCAACGGTGGTAGCCACCATAGTAGTAAAACAGCTTAAAAAAATTTATTCTCAAATATGTTAAAGAAAAAATTGAAAGATTAAAACTACAAAAAATTAATTTCTTTCTGAAACACAAAATTAAATTTTTTTTTTTTAATTAGACAAAAATCCTTTAGTTTTCTTGTCTAAATTACCTCTAGAAGCAACCATTTGGAAACAAGAAAATAATCAAGTAAACACATACCAAGAATGGTATAAGATCACAAATCACATTCACAAAATCATAAGCTTAAGTAACAAAATCCAACAACTGCAAATTTACAAGTAGTGGTTCTTGTGTGAATAAATAAGGGCATTTGACTTAATTTGCTATTTTACTTCTTATAGCCTATTTATAGTGCTCCATGACTCCCTCAAATTTGTCAAGCTAAGTGTGCTACAATTGTAGGCTAAGCAGGAGAAAGATTGCTCACAAGTGTTTTCAAAGTATGCTTCGATTACTTGAACAGAGAATATAACTTGAAGATGTTGGCTCATATGTACAAATGATCTAAGGAGCCTATTTATAGTGCTCCATCCTTCTTAAAAGGTTTCTCTATATTCTTCCTAACCTCATCAAATAGAAGGTTCTAGACTACCTTCTAGAGTATTCCCACCTCCAAAGGATCTACATACAAGGAGGTTCTACGCACATGCTAGAATGTACAAGAGAAGCCCTGGACATTCTAAATCATTACACTACTTATGTACATACATAGAAGAACCTGGAAACCTTCTACTATGTACAAGATCTTCTTTGAATATTCTAGAGTCATCCCCTCTAGAACCTCCAAGAGATGTTTGGAACCTTTTAGAACTCTCCCGCATTTTCAGACTCCTTGCTGCCAAGCCCATATTTCGGGACCTCATCTTGGAAAACAGACACTTCCATGATGATCCTTGGCCCAAAATATGGTGGACCCTTGAATTTGAGCCTAAAGCCCATTTGCCCCTCCAAATGGCTCATTATTGTGATACTGTCAAATGGGTGCTCATTAGAAACACAATGCCATAACAAAATAAAGCTCTACAACAAGAAGTGTGTTGTTGGGCACTAATTGCAAGCCCCCTAGCCACGATTATGCCTTATTCCCTAGTGACCTATTTGACGCCCATCCTTGGTGTGAGAGGTGACCCATAACAGTAAACCAACAATCTATACTACCACATGAGATAAAGACCCGACTAAAACCGATTCATTTCATTGGTTAGAATATTTCAACCTAATCAAATCTCCTTGCCTCAAACACAAGATCCCATCCTCTTTTAGCCTCCTCACCAATAGTGCACAAAACTACCTAAGATTTCTCAATACCTATTCTCTAATTTTTGACTCAACGTTAATACTTAATAGAATTTTACACTTAAAAAGAGCACCAATTCAATAATTCCCTTCAGAGTGGTTTCATTTCCTAATTTTTACACAAAGCATACCCTAGATGACTATTTTAAACTCCTCAACAAAGGTTTTTCAATAAAGTTTCCCCTGACTTCTTTGATAATAGCCTATGACCTATATATTACAATTATTCTTCATTAATTGATTATAATTCTCAGTTTTGCTTTCCTCTTAAGCCCACAAGGTTTGGTTTCACATACTGTCACAATTAGCTCAACATCGTAACATTCACCATAGTATTCACAACAACCTGATAAGTAGTAAACTCTCGAGTCAATAGTTTATACTAACACATGGTTTAAAGACCCCACTCAAATTGATCATTTAATTTGTTCAGTGGCTAAAAATAAAATCTAAAGTAGCAAACCTGGATAAATCCTTGAACTTATAAGTTATAATGGAGTACAGGAGTAGCATATTTCAACATAGTCAATCTTCTTTACCTCATATGCAAAAACTCACCCCCTATTAAACTCCTCAACAACAGCACAAAATTGCCTCAAACTTCCTAATTTCTATTCTGTATTCCCTACTATTGAGATTCTCCCTTTAGCCTCACCGAGTTACTGTAACTGCCTCTATTACTTGGACTTGGGAACTCATATCAGATATGTTTACATGTCCAAGAGTCTAACTCAACTTCTCCATGAAAAATCTCCATAATAAGGGTCGAAGTTCCATACCCATGTCAAAATGTCAAGGATCTCATCAAACACGTATACTTCAGGTAATCGAAGAATCCGAATAACATAACCCACTATTTGTAGTTTTGTACTATAATTTAACATCTGGGTGTTGCTTAAAAAAAAACATCAAAAATCATGATTGACCCATAAACAACTTCCTGTTGTACCCTCATGATCAAAACAATAACCCAAATTCACAATCAACCCTCAAAACCCAAAACCCAAATTTCATCGAATAGCAAATAGCAGTCGCACTTCACAAACAATCAACAAAACCCATCAAACAATAAAATCATAAAATGACAATAATGTATTCAAATGTTGCAAAAATAACAAACACCCATAATCAAAATTAAAGAGAGGGAGTAAAAAGGAGATATACTTGGAAGCAGCAGAAGATTCTTCTTCAAGCCAATTACGAATGTGACGAACATTGCGACGGAAAACAGCAGCAGATTGTCTAACGTCGCTTTTGGCAAGAAGAATAACAGCACCAACAGCTGCTACTGTCACTACAAAATTCGTCAACCCCATCTTCCTTTTCTTTCTTTTACCCTCTTTCTCTCTCCTCTAAAGATTGAATTTTTTTTAAAAAAAAAAAAAAAAAATTGTGCGATTTCTTGTTAAGAATCACAAGAACCTAGCTCCTCTCCTCTCTGTATGTTGAGGTCTTTCATTCTTCTCCAAGAAAGGGATTTTAATTTTTTTTTTTTTTTTTTTTTTTTTTTTTGGGACCAAATGGCTGAATTGGGCTTGCATTTTTGTGGGTTTTTCAGTTTTTGCCTATATCAAACCCAAAGTAAAAGTCTTACAAAACTTTTGTCAATTGTTTAAATTTCTAAAAAAAACAAAAAAAACGAAGTACAATTTTTTTTTGGAAAAACCGACTAACAAGTAATTTAACCATCTTGATAAAATAAATTACGCCCCATAGATTATTTAAAAAGTTTAAAATGACAAGAGGACAACTCGTCTATAAAACTTTGTGCAAAGATATTCAAAAGGTTTACTTAGATCATTTGCCGAAAGACTAATCACTTAATTGATGGAGTATATAAATTTGACTTTCATTGATCAATATGTACTTATGAAGGGTAGTGCATTATGCAAAATTGTCTAAGAACCATGAAGGGCATGAACAAGCTCTCATCACTTATGCATTATACGAAGTATAAGACTTCTTAGCTTGACAAACCATATTCCTTTTGGCATATTCAATACGGAGTAAAAAACAAGGAACAAATTTTCTGTAATTTCTTCTTAATTAGCATAAAGTAACTGACTAATTTGACTAGCTGGTATGCAAATAGCCAGAGGGGGACCTTTCACTGGGACCATTCGGAGCCAGGCCCCCGTAAATTATTGTAATTAATTAGTTAATAAACTTAAATAATCTATATATACTTATTAAATATCGGGACATAGTGATTAGTTTTGAGCAAAAGGTAAAATATTTAAATCCTAACCCCTCTACTATTTTTTGCCAAGATCCGCCACTGCAAATAGCAGCTACCCACCACATATTACTTTCTTCTGCATTAGCCTCAAGAGTCTAAAATCCAACTCTGTTACAAAAGGTTTTAAGTTTTTAACTAATGATCTATCGATGAGCACTGTTAGGCACCCGGAATAGTGTAGCTAGGCAATACAAGATTACAAGGTGGTGATTCGATAGACTTTTTTACTATACAACTAGCTCCGGCAAATTAGTATAGAAGATGGACCATTCTTTCACCTTAATTGGAGTATTACCATAAGAGAAAAAGATGATGGAAATAGAGTTGCTAATAGTAATACATTGCTTAAACTAGAACACCTCTTAAATGAGGTTTTGCTAATAGAATAGGACTTTAACTCGATAATTAGCTTTAATTAATTGTGACAATTGTTGATTAGTTTAAATAGCTGGAACCTGGAGGCTTGAGCTATATATGCATGAGCTGCAGTTAATTATGAGTCACCTACTCTATATGAGACTAACCCTCAATAATTCACTTTTCATGCCAGTTTTTTCTAGAATAAAAATAATCTTTTTCAGCTTAATTACTTCGTAATTAATTTATTGTCGCAGTCATATAGGTTACTCAGATTGCAATTAACTTGCTAAATAATCAAGACAAGCTGATTTGATATGTACAAACCATAGCTCTATCTACCATTCGTGTGCTTGTAACCATGCATGAAGGGTTGATTTAACATTTGTGTTGCATTATAAATTGCTATTTTGCCATGCATAATTTATTAACATTCAATTCTAGCTATAAAATCAAAGAGAACAAATTCAAAAAGGAGTTTGAGTTGATTTTCTTGAACATAACAATCCATCTATTACTTATTAGGTTACACCATCTTCAAACAGTTCTAGTCTTCTCCATTTAAAAAACTCCTCTTAGCCCCCCTAAACACAACTAGGCCAACATGCAATCTTACAAATTACTCATCACTACTAACCTTAAACTCTGTAACAACTTAGAAATCCATGGCATGCATAACTTAACAAGGACTACCTATTTCTCCCTAGAAAAGTAAATGGATACTACGATTCGATATATAGGCTTATCACTTCATCAAACTCTAGAATCTAGCTCCATTATAGTACTGAGGTTCATGGGGTGCATGTAGTCTGTGTTGCCACTCAAAATCTGCTCAACGATCAACCTATTCGCCCTCTCTGTTGGGTGAAAGGCATCCCAAAACGCGTATGCATCCCTATTTGGACATAAATTTGACATCACTGAGCAAATTCCTAGTCCATTGTATGGTCCTTGTCCACAACATGCCACCTTTGATGTCACAAACCCTACATAAGAACAAGAAATGTTACTCCTACTTGAGAGGCCTTATATTATATATCTCCCCTGAATTTTTTTAATATATTTGGCGTAATATATATATATTTACCATATGATTGAGGGCTTTCAATGAAATCCATGTGCATTTTAAATGCATTAGCAGCAACAAACACATTCGAGCCAGCTTTGTTGTTAAGTTTACTGATCATATCAACAAGTCGAGGATTGAACAAAGTAGCTGCCCTTTGTGGCTCCTCTGCACAATTTCCATTTCTGCCTCTTTGTGCTATCTCTGATGGTACACACCCTAGTGGTCCAGTCCCCGTTACTAGGACTCTTCGAGCTCCCAAATCGTACAATTTCTGCAATCAAATTAATTCCAAGTAATTAAGCATGTAATTATGTAAACCTATACAAAGCATATGCTTCCATTCTGCATCGAACTTTGTATGTGTGCTTATAGAAGAAATCATCAACCGGTTCGTGTAGGGTAGGCTTGCTAGCTAGCATAGGTATGGAGAAATTAACCAGAATTGAGTGTGAAAAAAAATAGCTAATAAAATTTTTACTTTACAGAGTAACATATAACAAAAATAGTTCATTAAAAACATCACATTAAAGTACTAATTCTTAAAATGGATCTATCAACAACTATAATAATAAAGTCATAAATGTAAACAACAAAAGGTTCAACATGGATGCATAAAATGCCTAGTGGTAACAAAGTCTGTGACCTTAACAAAAGGCATATATTTGGTAATCTTGCTTTAATTTATGTTGCACTTATGTTTTCATGTGACAGCATAGTACTGCAATTTGCAGGTAAATGTAACAAATAAAATTGTGTTACACTAGTTTATATAAGATAAAAATAAGATTAGTTTTCACCTCAAGAATCCTGCTATACTCTTGAATGAGAAAATCAACATAAGCAGGGAGTGTGAACTGGGTAGATCTAACTGAGAAAGGCACCAAGTAGTAGTTGTTAACGAAATCATTGCCTCCGAGGGTGATCAGTACCAGAGCTCGGTTTACTAGCTGTTGAGCTCCGGCTTCTCCGATTAAGGCACTCACTCTTTGTTGGTATTGTCGGAAATAATCTAGCTGCCTGTAGATTCTGATGATGTTCAGCTGAAAAAAAATATTACAGTATCAGTCCTTTTTTTCGAGTACATACTTCAGTCATTGTCTAACAGGAAAATCTAAGGGAATTTTTCGTTATGATCAGATCACTGCAAGTACTTTTCTAACTAGTAAACATGCTACATTATGAGCCAGTAAGAAGTACTGTGATTTTTGTACGGAAGATCTATGCAATTTTCCAATGTACTGTAGTATAATCAAAGTATTGTACATTCATTGAGATGTAGGAAATCTAGGAATTAATGAACTACTTTTATCATACATTATTGTATAGACTATATAATGTAGTACATTCCTGCTGTATTAGAATGACAGGTGAGAAACATGCAGCAAGATTTGGTAGGTTTATTTTGAGTTTCATTTAGCTTAGGTTAGAGAGACTTAAAAGTCTACAAAATGTTCAATAATTGAAGAGCAAAGGCTACAAATATACTAATCCATGCAGTAAGCCAAAAATAGAAAGTTGTCACACTCGAAATTGGACCATGTAAAAGCAAGGCAGTACTTCTAACTTGGATGCTTATTTTCATCATTTTGTACTTACCACATTGTCAGTGAAATTAACCATACATGCTCATATTTACACAAATAAAGCTTTATTTTGTGTCATATAATCCTACCATGTAAAACAATCAGTAGTTTCATATCGCGTTAAGGTCTACTAACAAAGAAATTGCAAAAACAACACGAATGTGAGATAAATTTGGTTGATTCTTACAAACTGAATTCCGGTGTCATTAAGGATTCCAATACCAGCTGAAGCAAAATTAGCTCCAACTAGTAGCCTCTGCCCCGTTAGCTCGGGACTCAAGTATGGCAATGTAGGTTGTGAACCAAGTCTTTCACCTAATCATAAGAAGTAAAAAAAACACACATTAGCCTAACACATAAGACTTAAGCATAACAATATAACATGCAACATAAATATTGTGAAACTTAACTGATGATATCAGGGATGTTAAGTCCATTGGAGAACCTCCCAGTGGCACGATGTGTAGGGTAGTCGATACCATAGGGAGGAGAATCAGCGCGAGCAGTGGTGGCAAGGAAGTTATTGTTACCACTATCGACGAGTGAGTCACCAAACACGAAGAAAGCTCGAGGACCATTCTGACCAACAGCAGAGGAAAACAGGAATGAAAGTAATAATGTAAAAAACAGGAATATAGCTAATGTAGTTTCCATTATTATGTATCTTTAGTATTGACAGAAAATGAGCAGCTTTTTTAACACAAACAAGTACAAGATGAATGAATTGAACTGAAGTTTATGAATAGGAGTATATAAAGGCCTTAAGAAACTAGAAAGTGAGTTTGATGATATTAATTGCAATTTCCCCTCTACTTTCACGGTTGCACCTAAAGATCATAGAAAGTGGACCACCCGAAAATACTGTAATATTTTTAAGGAGGAGTTGACAAGAGGTTTGTAATTGTTTAAACCTTATAATTGTTGCTAATTAAAGGCTTAAATTTTAGGTGTACATGTTTATAAAACATACAATAATAATTTTTCTATCTAATCTAACCCTAGTTCTACCAATGAAATTTTATTGCATGCACGATGGCCTTGATTGTTATTTGCCTCGTTGTAAAGGCTGCTAGGCTTAATGCATGTGTTTATTTGTCAAGAAATTAACTTTATTGTATGCATGATAACTTTGATTTTTCCGGTGTATAAAAAGTGGGAAATGAATAAGATTTGATCTCGAATCTTGGACGACATCACTCATTCACTCTCTTAGACTTTAATCAAGTTATTTAATTAACGTCTGCTAATTAAAAT